TGCCCTGGCTAACTGGTTTAATTTGGTGCTCTAGTGGATCAGGCAGACCCTGGGCTAAGAAGCCAGGGGAAGAACTCCAATGGCATCTTCCAGTGTCTGTGTCAGCATGCCTCTACTAGATCACAATGATAGCTGCCACCAATGTCTCAGTCCCTGGAGAGGTCTCACCTCTCACTGAGATGCACCCATAGCCTATCAGGCAAGTCACTTTTCACCAAATAAATGTATCCCTTTCTTTCTGGTGATTTTAGTTTGCTTTCTGAAACAGGTGAATTTGTACATGGGCCCTTTAAGAGCTAGCTTTTTTCCCCTTATGACCAACAGCTTTTCTGGGAGTATTCCCCATTGTTGTTGGTAGCCAGCAAAGCCAGATATCATGAGACTTGTTTCAGTTTTACTGAGTCCAAAGGATGCTTATAGCAGTTATACCACCCCCCTCAGGTCCCACACTCCTCTGGGGAAGGCTTCACACCTTAGAATTGCTCTCTGCTGTCTATGAAGCACTGTGGCTTGTGAAGGTGGCTTTTTTCCTCTCCAGAAAGGAATTTCTGCCTCTTCCACCTCAGTCAGGACTCTCCCTTGTTGTGGAGCTTCTTTTTATCCAGTTTTCAGTTCTCTCTCAGGGGTTATTGTTCCAAGGGTACTTGCAAATTCATTGTGTCCATGGGAGGAGGTGAGTTCACACTCTGCCTATACCACCATCTTGACACATTTCTCCTCATATAAGCAGTTAATACTTTAAATTTTCCTCAAAGCTCTGCCTCAGTTGCCAGGTACAAATTTTGTATTTTGCATTTTCTTGTTATTCAATTCCAAATATATTTCTTGTTTCCTTTGTTATTTCTTTAACTTATAGATTATTTAAAAGAATGGGATTTAATTTCCACATATTTGGGAATTTTCCAGAGGTCTTTGCTTACTTGCTTCTAATTTAATTCCATTATGTTTAAAGAAAATGCTCTTTATGATATTAATTATTTTACATGTGCTGAAATTTGTATTCTTCTGTTGCTGGATGGAGTGTTCTAAAAATGTCAGTTAGGTCAGATTGTTTCCAGTCTGCTACATCTTTAATGGTTTTGTTGAATCTATCAAATACTGTCAGAGTGATGTTAATATCTCCAATAATAGTGGTGGATTTGTCCATTGATTTTTTTATGTATTTGTATTTCTGTTATTAGATTAAAATATTTATGTGTTCTGGATTAATCAATACCTTTAATAGCATATAATGTCCCCTCTTGCCCTGGTAATATCTTTTATTTTGCTAATTACTTCATTTTATGTGAATAAAGTCACTCTAGATTTCTGATTCTAGTATTGCATGATATATCTTTTTCATCTTTTTACTTTTATCTACATGTTTATATTAGAAATGGGCTAATTTTAGAGAGCACATAGCTGATTCTTTCTATTTTACCCTACATTCTGTCCTCTGTCTTTTAATTATCATGTTTATACAAATTTCATTTAATGTCATTAAGGGTAAACTTGCCTTTAATTCTATCAGCTTGCTATTTCCCTTCATTTTTGTCTCATTTCTTTGTTTTCCTTTTCTGCACCTCTACCTTTTTATTTAAATTATTTTAATTTTCTTATTTTACATGTATTGGACTCTTTCAAGGGAGTGATAAGATTTGAAAGGACTTTCCACAAACTCCTGTCTCTGTAAATGACACTGGATGAGTCAATGCAGTGGATAGCAGGAGTGTTCTTGAGATCCATTCCTGAAAGCCAACCTGTGTGACTAGCAGTAACTTAACTATAATTTGGAGTGACTGTGAATCACACTACAATGTGTCCCACTGAATTCAAACTAGATATGCCTATAATGGTTTGATTACTATCCCTCCAAAATACATGCCTGATCAGAACTTCAGAAAGTGACCATATTTGGAAATAGCATGTTCACAGATGTAATTAGTTAAGGATATTGAGAATAAATCATCCTGGATTTAAAGTAGGCCCTAAATTCAATGGCTGTTATCTTGATAAGAGGAGGAGAAGACACAAAGAGCCACATGGAGAAGAAAGCCAGGTGAAAACAGAAGTAAGCAGAGATTGGAGTTATGCTGACACAAGCCAAGGAACATTTGAGGCCACCAGAACCTGGAAGAGGTAAGAAAGGATTCTTTCCTAGAGTCTGCAGAGGGAGCATGGCCCTACTGACTTCTTGATTTTGAACTTCTAGCCTCCAGAACCATGAGAGAATAAATTGCCGTGGTTTTCAGCCACCCAGTTGTGGTACTTTGTTATGGCAGCCCTAAGAAATGAATATAGTACCCCAACTCAATTTTTCCTTTGCTAGATTCCTGAAATGCTCACGGCCACCCCAGTCTACCTGCCAGTAGGGTAAGTTTGAAAGATGGAAAATAAGAATGGAAAGTGACATCAATCCAACCAATTTCAGTTAAAATTCTTAATTTTGAAAAAATTCATAAAGCATATTTTACAAAAAAACACAGCCAGGTACCTTGGAGGACCCTGTGTAAGTAAGAAGCCCTGAAGCTTCAGCTTTATTGGCTTCATGGGAAATCCACTTCTGACACAGGAGGGGAGAGTTGACTACAGATACAATGTCCTGAGATGACCACAGAGTATCTGTAAGGAATGATCACACAAGTGGGCACGAATCCTATGCTGAGAAAGAGGGTGATAAGAGGAAATGTAGGGGGATTGGTAACGGATAAAACAATGTGCTAGAGCTAATGTAATAGAGGTCATGGTGGGGTCAAAATTCATTGGAATCATACTCTATGGTTTGAACTGGAAAAACAGAAATAATGGTCAGAGAATGGGGTACTTGATAAGGAGATGTTAGATGTAGTGCAATGATTGGCAATAAACAGGTCTACAGTATGGTCACAGAAGTGGGTGACTGAGAGTGGGATAGAGGACAAAAACACTGGAAGGAGAGAAGAAGTCAAGTAACTGAGAGGCCAGGATGCCAAATGGATCTTCTGCATAGATGTAGAAATTGCCACACGTGATGACAGAATTAGTGGTAAATCACTGTAAAATTAGGAGCATGCATGGTAAATGATGAAAATAAGAGGGGTTTATGGTGCTATAGTCTGATAGTGTATGCTCAAAGGAGCTGGAGTCATTTCACAGAAGCCAAGAGCAATGGTCTTGAAGTGGCAGAGGCTCCAGAAAGATACCCTCTTCACCTTCTGACCCTGTGTTAGTGGAAAATGAGAATTTAAGTGTCTGTATGTGAGAGAGCAGAGGGGAATCAGAGTTCTCAGTGAACAGTCAGGTTGAAGTTAAAGCAAGAAAGACAAGAATGCATTCAAGGAAGGCGCTTAGAATACAGAGCATCTTGCTGATAACGGAGCATGAGTTTCAGGGGACAATTGGGAATGACTGTGGTCTCAGAGGAGGCTAGTATTTGGGTCAGATGTGTAGGCCAAATTGTGGAAAAAGCCCAGATGACTAAGGACAACCTGTAACGTGTGGACTTCCTGCCCAGGCTCAGATTGACAGGATTGTGGAGCAGGAAAGAATTGCTTGGAATCGTCTCTTGAGGAAAAGTGATTCATCAGATTTAGTTCAAACCTCTTTCCAGACTCTGCGCTCTATCCATGTCCTCATCCCCGTGGGGGCAGCAGTTTCATTTTGTACTCACCACTCTGCCTTTTATTTCTTCCCTTTCAGCACACAAAAATTTACATCTTTTAATGTTTATTTTACACTTAGAAGGCTTTAGCTTGTTGCCTGTCCTATCACAATTTAATTTTCCTGTTCTTCAGTCCTTTATTTTAAGCCATCTTTTGTTGCCTGAAGTTGTTCGCACATTTTGTTGCTGTAATTGTTATAGTCTTAATGAAAGATGAGTGGGTAATAATTTTATTGAGTTCTTGCATATGTAAATATGTATTTCTGTCACCACTTAAAAGGGAATGATGTCAATAGAATAAAAAGACAAGCCATCGACTAGGAGAAAATTTTTGCAAAAGACATATCTGATAATTGTTATCCAAGATATACAAAGAACTCTTAATTTCAACAATCAGAAAACAACAAGATTAAAAAATGACCCAAATACCTTAACAGACATCTCACCAAAGAAGATAAGATGCAGATGGCGAAGAAACATGAAGAAATGCTCTATATCATATGTCATCAGGGAAATGTAAATTAAAACATTAATTTAATACCACTACATACCCTGTTTGACAAGGTGCTGTCAAGTGGATTCCAACTCCTAGCGAGTACAGAAGAGCAGAACCCTGCTGGGCCTTTTTTTTGCCATCCTTTCACCTCTCGGCACTGTATCAGACAATGCTCTGCTACTACACATACAGTTTTCATGGACGATTCTTTTGGAAGTAGGTGACTAGGTCCTTCTTCCCAGTTTGTCTTAATTTGGAAGCTCCCATGAACCTTGTCCACCATGAGTGACCCTGCTGGTATTTGAAATACCTGTGCCATAGCATTCAGCATCACAGCAACATCAAGTTTCCAAATATGACAGCCAACAGGCAGTGATGTGGTTCCCTGACTGGGAAATGAACCTGGGACCGCTGTGGTGAGAGCGCTGAATCTTAACCACTAGACCACCAGGGGTGGGCACACATCTGTTAAAATGGCCAAAATCCACAACAATGAAAACACCAAATGCTTGTTCAAATATGGAACAACAAAACCTCTCGTTCATTGCTGGTGGGGATGCAAAATGATATAGGCACTTTAGAAGATAGTTTGGCAGTACCTTACAAAACTAAACATACTTTTACCATAAGATCTAGCAATAATGCATCTTGGTATTTACCCATAGGCATCAAAAATATGTCCACACAAAACCTGAATACAAACGTTTATCATAGTTTGATTCATAATTACCAAAAGCTGAAAGCAAACAAGATGTCCTTCAGTATCTGAATGGATAAACTTTGGTACATACAGACAATGGAATATTATTCAATTTCAAAAAGAAATAACTATTAAACCATGAAAAGACCTAGAGAAAACTTAAATGCATATTACTAAGTGAAAGAAACCCATCTGAAAAGGCTATATACTATATGGTTCCAATGACATTCTGACCCATTTTTGCCACCTGGAGGTAGGTTTGCAGTGATATATAATTGATATGTACTATTTGGTATTTCTTTTTATAGCTTTTTCTGTTTTTTTACACCTATGAATAGAAAGAGAAATTAACTAATGGAATAATTTGGAGGATCAAAATGCAAAATAATCTTGGTTGGTTGGTGTGATGTATGAAAATCAATAATAACAATTAGCAGAGCTAAATATATACACTTTCACTTAAGTTTAAAAAAAAGAGCAATGGGTGTGGAAACTTTGTAACCAGTTTTTAGGAAAAAAGTCTTCGGAAATTAGTCAAATAAAAGACTACGGTGATAGATAATTTTAGAAACAGATAGTGGTGATGTTTTCACAACATTTCAAATGTAGTTAATGCCACTGAACTGTACACTTAAATATGGCTAAAATGGCAGATCTTGTGTTACATATATGTTACTGCAATAAAAAAATTAGAGTGAAACCACAGATATTTTGCATCTTAAAAGCAAATTTGATTCTTGAAAACCAAGTGAAATCCAATATACTGGTCTGAACAAATATTGTGTCATATGTTCTTTATTTCAGGATATAATATCACACTCTAGATTAAGGCAGAATTGGAGTTGAAAGACCTACCATTGCTGTTATTTAAGAAAGAGTTGAAGAAACCATTTGTGATTATCCAGGAGGAAATGATGTTGTTCTACAAATATCTGGAGTATTGTTGTGTAGAAACAGGAAAAGGCATTCTCCATTCAGTTCCACAAGGTAAAAGTAGACTTTATCACTGGAATTCATCTATCTATTCATTCCACAAACCAGGTCTGCTTGATGAAGCTCTGGGTCATTCCTTTATACATTGAACAGGCTAATAAAATTAAAAATGGGCAGATGAAGTCTAAACACCACTGGATAACTGAGAGAGATGATGATCAAAGAAGAGGCCCTCTCATGGATAACTGACACATAAGTTATCAGGTATGGGCCTACATAAGGAAATTCATCAATCATGTGGAGGAAAATGTTATTCAGATGCAAGGATCTGACCATAATAGTCTTCTTTAGTGTGAGTGTGGAAGTCCCATCTATACTTATCTGATCTCCTTTTTGGTGTTGATCTTAGATAGCAAGAAGTTCTTACAGTCTTTATCCTTTATCTCTGAATTTTTCTAAAACTTTCTGGAGAGCAGCCATAACTTCCTTATTCCTCAAGCTGTAGATCAATGGGTTCAACATAGGTGCCACCACAGAATAGAATAGAGCAACCATCTTCTCTTCTTCCATTGAGGAGGCTGACTGTGGCCTCAGGTAGGTGAATATGGCTGCGCCAAAGCACATGCAAACCACAGTGAGGTGGGAGGCACAAGTCCCAAATGCTTTGCGGCGTCCCTGAGTAGAACGAATGCGCAGAATGGCAGCAACTATACGACCATAGGAGAAGAGGACCAGAGAACAGGGAAGCATGATCACCAGAAATCCTGAGATGGCCGCCATGACCTTGTTGAAGGAGATGTCCACACAGGCTAGCTGTAGCACTGCTAGGGTCTCACAGGCAAAGTGATTGATAACATTGTGACACAGAGGAAGCCGGAAGGTGATGATTGTTTCCATCAGAGAATTCATGCAACCAGCCACCAAGCAGCCAGCAGCCAGCCCCAGGCACAGCCCTCCATGCATGATGACTATGTAGTGAAGTGGGTGGCATACTGCCACATAGCGGTCATAGGCCATGGCTCCCAGCAAGAAGAACTCAGACCCACCCAATGCCAGGGACACGTAGAACTGGAGCACACAACTGTGGAATGGGATGGACTTCTGAGCTGAGAGAAAGTGGGCCAGCATTTGTGGGGCAAAGCTGTTTGAATAGCAAAGGTCCACAAAGGATAAAACACTAAGGAAGAAGTACATGGGGGTATGAAGCCTGCTGTCCAGTCTGATCAGGGCAAGAATGAGGACATTTCCCACAGTAGTCACAACGTACATGGCCAGGATCAGGACAAAGAGGGAGACCTGAGTCCCCCATTCACTGGACAGCCCCAGCAGAATAAACTCTCTCACCCATATCTGGGTTTTATTTTCCTGGCCCATGAGTTTCTGAGGAGCAAATTAAAGATGTCAAAATAGCAAATTATGTAAACTCGGGATTGGAAGGGTGGCTTTTGGACCATATAGAGAACCTATCCGTGTGAGCTTAAAGTTCTCCTGGAGCACCTCAGCCACATCATCAGCCAAAACTCTGCTTGAAGATATCCATAGATGAAAACACAGTGAGACCCGGATGTGCAGCTGGAAATCAAGGCAAAAAGAAGCTACATTCTTGGAATTCAATGTAGTGGAACATAATTTCTTCTCCTAAACATCAGCTCTTAAATGAGGGAAGGAAATTAATGAAGTATTTAGACTTAACATCCTGGTCAATTTAGTACTTATTATAGGGGTCAATTCCTGTCTTTCTGGTGAGAAAGTTTTTGGGCCACATGAAAGACATTTGTCTGAATTCTGCATGATGTTCATCACCATTTACCCTCTTTTGGTTTACTAGGTGTCTCAGACACAACTCTACTCACTCCCCAGTGGAATGTATCCATGAAACTCTGAATGTTGTAAAAAATATTCTTATACTTTTTATTACTAAGTGATTTGGAATTTCTTTTCCATAGCTTGTCCTTTTATTTTGAGAGTGTCGAGTGGGAGGCTTGCTCTCCACCTACCTCTCACATCAGTGGTCCCGTTGGGTGAGATCAACCCAAGATGACCAACTTCAAGAATCAGGTGTTGCATGAAGAGAAGGTATAGACAGCTGCTAAAATTCATCCCTTATGCCCCCCAAGGGGAATTTAATGAAGGGCTTCATCATGTCAGGTTATTACTTAATAAAGATGCTTTCTGAAGGAAGGGATAACTCACCTATTTCCCAGTATAACATTGAGCAGTCCTCACCAGTGAAGATATAAGGATAGAAGATCAAGTCTTAATTATAGAATATGATGACATAGGCAGTAGTAGTTTCTTAATCCCAAAATGAAGTTTCTTTTATGTTTGCTCTCTTATAGAAGGAAAGAAATGCTCCACAGCTAAAGTATGCAGATGGGAGCCTGAGGACAGTACATGAAACATCATGTGACAGTACATGAAAGATCATTATTCCAATGGCTTCTATACTATTCATGCTGTAACTTTATATGGACAACAGACTACAACTGCACTGATCGAAAGCTTCCCATGTCAGCCTAAGAACTTTTAGAATGATTGTTAGAGACTGTGCCACTTATAACACAGGCAGTTGGGGGATTTAAGACTATAGTTCATTATCATAAAGATAGCAATATTCAGACAGTTACTCATAAAATATTCAGGATTTAGTATTGATTTGACAAGGTCCAAAATACTGAGGAATTTATTAAAAAGCGAGCTCTCAGAAATTAGTGTCACACAGAAATTAGTGGAAATGATCTATGTCAGATACCCAATTCAAGGCCTCCCCTGGAAGCTTTTAGTTATCCACACCAAAACTGGAACAAGCTACTCAGCTACAAAATTGGAAAAAAAATACACAATGCTTAAAGATGTAAGATTCTTCACTGTGTAAAAAGAATTCGAAATCTCCATGACAAAGAGTTAGTTTATAGTCAAGAATGATATTTTTCCAAATGTTCAAAATTAGCAGTTTGTTTAGCTTATGACTAAAAATCAATAGCACAGTCTCAGTCTTTTGTATTCCCTTCCTTGTTATTTTCCTTTGCATTATAGCTATTTGTACATTAATTTCTTTTTGTTCTGCCACATTTGACATTGGAATAAAAAATATTGTCATTATGCTGGTTGGAAAACTTCTTCATCTTGAAAACCCTGATAAAAATATGGACTGGTAATGTTTACAGTGCTCCCATTTGCCTACGTGAATGTACTTCTGACATGCCAACGTTTTTAGAGATTCACCAAAATCTAAAGAGAGCACACTGCAAAATACAGCTAAATGCAGCATCCATCCTTCTGCAGCCAACTGCTATGTTCCCAAGATATGGCTTCCTACACTCGTAGTTTCCAGGACATTTGCATTGAGGGCGTCATTAGGGTCATTTTTATAGGCAGGGAAGTTTTCTGGAAAATTCATTATAACTATTCTCTCTAGGGATGCTATTTTAAATCTAAATATTTGAATATTTGATCTGTTTCCTCCACGTGGAAATGTTTGCTTTTCCCCTTTCTTTATTTTCTCCTTTCCACATAAGATCACATACGTATATATCTATTTCAAGAATTGCTTAAAATCTAGATGATGAAGAAATAGTTATTTTGTGCTTATTGCTTTGTGTTAGGATTTAATCAAATAAACTAACAACTATGTAAATCACATTTAATAAAACTTACCAAAGTGGGATGAATTGTTTCCAAGAAGTATTTCTATTGTGACCTGTTCTTTAAAGGAATACCAGTGATTTGCCCCACATTCTGTGTAGGATTTATTCCAAATAACCCTCCTTCAGTCCTGTCTGCCAAGGGCACAGCTGTACCTGTGATGTGGCGCTCGTCCAGGTGTATCCGCAGGTGTCTATGTGCACACAGGTGGCATGGATGTGAAGTGATGCGTAATGGCAGATTCATTTACATTGTTTACACGTCTATAACCAGGACTTAAAGAAATACCAGTTCTAAAAACTCAAACAAACAACAACAAAACATCTAGTATTTTCCTACCTATCTCCAAAAACATATCCAAAAGGAGGGCTTTTGTGCTTAAAGCCATGTTATTTTTGCTCGTTAATGTAGTCAGGCAAGTGTATTTCCAAGTGGCATATTACTTGTATAAGGGATTTTGTGATTTTTAAATAAAATATATTTGATGTTTTTAAAAAGTGATGTGTTCAAATCAAAGTAAAATCTGTTTCTTGTAAATTTTTTTTCAAATATCTTACCCAAGTCAATGGCCCTGTGAATCAGTGAATGGCCAGGTTTGGTTTTAGAAAATCTCCTCAGTCTTGTCTAACATTCTGGTGGGAGATGATGAGAAGAAAACAAACAAGCTCCTGAAACCCTCCTGCCTAGCCAGCGTGCAAAACTTCCCCAGGGTGGGAAGAACGTTAAGAGAAGAATTAAAAACCGTTAAGTGCACTCGTTTCTGTGTCAGGTTGATATAAACTAACACTGTATTTTCTGTACCTTTATTCTGTACCAGACATTATACTAAATAGTTTATATGTCTATTTCTATAATATATTATAATGTAATGTAATATGATATGATATAATATAATATAATATAATGTGATATAATATAATGTAATATAACATAATATAATATAGTATGCCTTCACAACAACACTCTGAAAAATGGCTATTTCTTTTTTTTTTATTTTTCCTTTTTCTCCCAAAGCCCCTGGTATATAGTTGTATATTTTTAGTTGTGGGTCCTTCTAGTTGTGGTATGTGGGATGCTGCCTCAGCATGGCTTGATGAGCAGTGCCACGTCCACGCCCAGGATTCCAACTGGCGAAACCCTGGGCCGCCGAAGTGGAGTGCATGAAGTTGACCACTTGGCCAGAGGGATATTTCTGTTTTGCAGATGGAAAAAAGAGGTGAAGTGATTAGACAGTGGTGGAGTCAGCACTAAACAGGACTATCTGATGACCTGGGCACATCCATTACTCTACTCCTGTACATAGCATGACCCTGTGTACAGCATTCAAAGGCTATGGGGTCACCAAACATAAACATCAGGAGACCTGTCATGAGGAATAATTGATTCCTACTTTGGATCCCAGTCACTCCAGAATGGTGGTGGACCAGAGCAGTCCCTCCCACTCACCTTGTGAAACTGAAGTCTGGCCTTCAGGCCACATCGGCAACATGACAAGGAGGAGAAACAGCCTACCTCCCCCGTTTGGAGACTCTCTTCTTGCAGGAGGTAATTGACTGGCCTCTTTTATAAACTGGCAAAGGTGACCATGCTTCCACTTTGTCTGACATGGTGATGAGTACAACAGCCTAGAGTGGATATATGGCAGGAAGTCCTTTCTTCTTCCTCTGAGGAAAAATGAAGGGCTCTGATTATGCACAATAAGGAAACAAAATAATCTAATATCAGAAACAAATAAATGAAGCACTTATTTTTAAAAATCAGCTTTCAAGAAAAGATTTGAACTTGAGGATACTTTTGCCTAGCCAAAAGACCATCCCTAACAAGTAAAAGGTGAGGGATGATGAAGGATCCTGGATGGAGACTCTTACTTTGTTGGGAAGATTTGTCCCTGCTGAGCTGTTTCTCGTGGGGAACTTGAATCTATTCTCTGTAGTGGTGAGTGCTTATAAATAGTGCCAACATCTCCCCCACTGTTTGTGTAAACAGTTACTGTCACACTAACATAAAAAGAGGGCTATGTTTCCAGGTCACTTGGCAGTCACACCAAGGGAGATGGTAAAATGTTGAGTGGCCGTGTAGTTAGGCTGAAATCATCACACAGGTGGGGAAGAGAGCCAGTCCTTCCCACAGCCATAGGACTGCTTTCCACAGTGTCCCCTTGGGTCCCCCACGCAAACACACTCACTCATGCCCCAGTTGTTCACAAACTTCTTTTCATGCCTGCTTAGCTGTACACTCACAATCGTAAAACCACAACAGCTCTGTGAATATACTAAATGTCCCTGAATTGTACACTATAAAATGGTTAATTTTATGTGATGTGAATTTTATCTCAACTCAAAAATGAAATCTTCACAGACTGGTGTTACGTATTCATTAAATGTGTTTCTCAAAAGAAAAATCAAAATTAGCCCAAATTTAAATAAATAAAAGGTAGACAAATAAACATTTGAAAGAGAAGACTATGCAAAATAGGTAAATGGGAGAAGAGGAGAGGATACTGAGACGTAAATAAGAATAAATAAATGAGAGAAGTTACCAATAATCTACCTATGAAAAAAGCCAAAAGTTGGAGAATTAATAGTCAGAAAGGAAAAAGTAAACCAGAAAGGAAATCCAAGAAAAAAAGAGTACAATGAAGCCAGGGAAATAAAAATGAAGCCAAATGAGGAAGAAGTGGAAACAAAGAAAATGAGAAAAAAGAAAATTGCAATAAACATTTATAGAGGCCATTTTCTTGACATTTAATCAATTTACACATTGCTAATTATCTAATATTTTGCACACCTGCGCTTCCAATACTTTATTTATCTTGGTGTTTAGTCCTGAGTGTTATGTTTAGTCCTTCCTTAAAGTAAGAGTTTCTAGAATTTGGTTCTATCATGATGGAAGCCCTGATCAAATAGATTTACCAGGGAAACTGATAGATCCTCAGAAAATCTGAATAGTGAGATCTTTCAGGACAACCACCCCCAACCCTCTCCCACATACACGCAAATCTTCAGAACTAATTTTTCTTCAGTTACATTGCTGAAAATTTCCCACCAAAACATAGAAGACTCAAAACACTTATCTAAGGTGCCCATATTTGCCATCACTAAATTACTTCTACGCAAGTGAAATTTCTGTTCTTCAGCCACTTTATCATAATCCACTTTGTAAAGAGGAGCAAATACTGCCCCAGAATCATCTCTGCATTGCCAAAGCACAGTGAAGATGACCATAAACCCACATTTGTCTACTCTGAGCTTTTAGAATAGTTTTGAGAGGAGATAGGTACGGGATGAAGAAAAAATGACCGAGTAAAAGGCATAGAGAGCAGGGAGGAAGTGGGGGAGATGGCACAGATTTGAGCTGGAGAATAAGTGAGGGCTCCAGGGTCAGTCTGCCTCCTGTGGGCACGGGTCTCTCTCCTCTCTGCTCAGCTCCTTTCTAGCCTTTTGTGCCATTGTCGGATTGTTGTCCTTCTTTGCCCCAGAGACTTAGAGAATGAGCATCAAGCTAGAACCAGCCTCAGTGAACAGCCCACAGAAATTTTTATTTCCAGCTGAATACCTGCCTTCGTCATTACTACCAACAGATCTGTGTCTTTGGAACATTTTTACCCTGCTCAAAGATTTTATTTTTGTTCATAAAGACCCTTTCCATTGGATTTTTATGCAAAAAGCATATATTCTCCTAAAATCCTAGCACATCAGTTTTCACATCTGTAAAAAGAAGATAGTACAATAAATTATCCCTCTCCCAGAGGAATATATAGTTACCCAACAATAATAAAAATAACAAAAATTATTTATTAAATTAATATACAAATGGAAATGACTTGAAAATGTAAGACTACTTTAAAAACATGCGCCAAGTAAGCAGCCTATTCATCATGCAAAATAGACAGTGGGACCTAGAGAAGCTACATTATATTCCTGACCAGCCCTAAAAATGGGAAGCATTTCAGACAAGGATGTCACTTTAAAGACTTGTTTCCTGGGCCAGCCCATGGCCGAGTGGTTAAAGTTCCTCGAGCTCTGCTTCAGAGACCCAGCTTGTGGGCCCAGATCCCAGATGTGTACATATACCACTCATCAGCCATGCTGGCGAGGCATCCCATGTACAAAGCAGAGGAAGATTGGCACAAATGTTGCCTCAGGGCTAGCCTTCCTCAAGCAAAAATAAAAGAGGAGGATGGGAATGGATGTTAGCACAGGGCAAATCTTCCTCACACACACACACAGACACACACACACACACACAAAGACTTGTTTCCCAAACAGCAATTCTGCATGGAGAGAAAAGCTAGTCTCTGAGGGAGTCATCTTTCTACTGGCATCGGCAAAGAGGAGGCTTCTCAGCACAGACCTGGCACCTCACCCCTGTTTCCAGGAGTCCGTGAAGAGCAGAGATCAAGACTGCAAATCTGGGGCTGACTCAGGCTCAGGCCCATCACAGGTGGGGAACTCTTAAAATGCTTGAAAAGGTCTGGCTTCCAAATTTGATTAGCCAGATCATATTTCCTTGGGACCAATTTCTACTAAAGGACAACTCTATCAAGCCACCATACTCTTAATCTTGAAGAATATAGGAGGAGGCCATGAATTACAGGGACCTGGGTTAATAATTGCTAAATAACTGTTGAAGAGAGACTGAAAATGCACAACTCACCTCTGCAGAGTGGAGGAGGCCATCCTGAGCCTTGGAAAGACGGCAGGGCTGGGAAAGCTGTGGAATTTGAAGCAAGTGCAATTGGAACAGGTAACTGTCTCTAACTTTAGTGATGAAATCTCAAGGGGCCAATTGCATTTGTTTATTAGATTTCTTTTATTTTTCCTCGCCCCTGTCTGGTCACTTGTGCATCTAGCATCCTAACCTACATTTCAACTTTGCAAGTGAAAGTTTTGTTTCTCTGTCCCTGGAGCATGGGAAGGAGCTCCCCAAACTTTCATTTCTCAAGGGAGGTACATCTGAGTCTTCAGTGATAGCACCTTTGGATGGTGGGAATTTTTATCCCACTTTACAAGCGTGAGGATTAAATCTCAACTTCCTCATTCCAAGTCATCCATCTCCACATTCCTTTGAGCGAAAGCGCCAAGGCCAGGCACCTCAGGGAACCAGCGGATGCTCTGCGGTACTCGTCTGATCTGAGCAAGGCCAGGGAGACCTTTTTGCCAGTCCCCAGACAGACGCTGCTTTGCTGGGCTGCTCTCCAGGTTTGGAATTCTACCACCACATTCCGTAACTTTCTTAGAACTTTCGCCTTTCCCTTCACTTTAAGGAAGACAACCTTCCACACCCTGGTCAGAATCTTTCATGAAAGAATAGCCATCCTGTGCGAAAAAACTCTAGTGAGGATGGTGAGCATCGTGCAGTGAGACTTGTAGAGGCCCAGCGTACTCCTCCTTCTCCTCCCCAAGAGTGGGAGAGTGTCCATGTGAGAGTGACCAGGCTGCTCTCATCCTCTGCTCAGCCACCTGGCACTGCCTCAGGAAAGGGCTTATGATTTTTTTTTTCTCCCTGGTTTATTCTGGGAACTGGTGGCAACAGCATCTTCTCCCAGCCAGTGGTCTGAGACCCACTTTCTAACCACAATAAACAATCTGCCCACGTGTGCACTGGGGTTGGAAGGGGAAGTGGAATAGAGCCTGAGTGAGCTCTGGACCTTACCCTTTATGCCAGTGCCTAGACAAGAGAAGAGAAAAACAAGATGCTTTCTAGCTTCCAAAATGTTATTGGCATTTCTCATAAAACACTTTTTTCTTATTCATTGTCCTCTTTACTTTTTGGATTTATCATCTTGTTTCCTATCCTTTTACCGTTATTTAGGATGACTTTAGGAGAGAATGAAC